AACCTAACCCTAAACCTAACCCCAACCCTTAACCTAACCCTAACCCTAACCCTAAACCTAACCCTAAACCTAACCCCAACCCTTAACCTAACCCTAACCCTAACCCTAAACCTAACCCTAAACCTAACCCCAACCCTTAACCTAACCCTTACCTTAAATTGAATCGGCTTGCCTTCAAAACGCTATTTAAAGCGCACTTCTTTCTCCGCGCTGGCTGTTGTCGCCCTGTTGATGACGTCAGTGACGCCGTTTAGTCGGGCGCGGTTTAGTCGAGCGCGGTTTTGTGGGTGAACCAAGACAGACAATGGTTACGTGATTTTTGATCTATTTTTACGACCTTTCTTGCTACGGTTGCTAAGTGAACCACTGCAGTTGATAAGTTAGTAACACGGTTGTTAAGTGGATCTGGCACTTGACTTTGCTTGTCAGAAGGTCACAAGAGAGGATCACGTGACCCCTGGGATCATGCAACTGTCATAAATATGAGCCAGTTGCCAAACATCTGAATTTTGATCAGGTGACTGGGGGGGAAACGGTTGTGCAAAAATATATATGGCCACCTCACTTTTTTCCAGGGCCGTTACAACTTTGAGCGGTCACTAAACAAACGGTCGTAAGTCGAGGACTACCTGCCTGTTATTATAGGAGACCAAATCGTCTATAGTTCCTGTTTTAGGGAGCCTACTTTATGTTCCCAAGGACTCTTCAAAGAATATTTTCATATTTCCTTCGCAGCCGTGTTCTCTCCGTTTGGGTTTTACCTGGCTGACATCGAACGTGAAGGTTCTCCATCAGGGGTGGGCTTCGAAAATTTCAGCAAGGGGTTCTCTGCCCGGTTACTGGGTGGGCGTGGCCATGGTGGGCGTGGCTTAGTCGGGCTCCTGCACCACGCCGGGGGAGGCGTTTTTGCCCTTCCTGGACTCCGGAGGGTTTTTTTGAGCCTCTGGGAGGGCGAAAATGGCCTCCCCAGATTCTGGAGGCCCTTCCTGAACTTCCGGTAGGCCTGTTTTCGCCCTCCCCGAGCCTCCGTGTACACACTACACCTACCTGCATTCAAAACGGGCCGCGTGGAGACTCGTGGGAGGGGAGGGGTGGAGTGGGCGCGGCCAGCCAGGAGTGGGATTTGCGGGTTCTCCAAACTGCACAGATTCTTAGCTAGAGATTCTCCTGAACTCCTGCCAACCCCTAGCAGCCCACCCCTGGATCTCCACCCATACCTTTGACCATCCTTCGTATCTTTCCACAGATTACAGAAGCCCACTCGCTTAAGCTTCGAAGAGTTCAGCGAAAAAGAGATCGCCGAGATCCAGGAAGCCTACGAACTCGGGGGCCTCTCCGAGGTGGTGACCCGAATCCAGTGCAGTTTGGAAACCATCTGGAATGCCCAGCTGGATATTGCGATCACCGGAGAATCGGGCGCTGGGAAATCCACTTTCGTCAACGTCTTGAGGGGCATGACTGACGAAGAGGAAGGGGCGGCCGCCACGGGCGTGACAGAGACCACCATGCAGCCCACGGCGTATCCTTATCCCGGGCATGCCAACGTCGTCCTGTGGGATCTCCCCGGTATAGGAACACCCAACTTCTTGGCCGATAAATACTTAGAAACGGTGGAGTTTTCCCGCTACGATTTCTTCATCATCCTGGCTTCCGAACGGTTTAAAGAAAACCACGTCCGTTTGGCCCAGGCCATTGTCCAACAGGGGAAGCAGTTCTACTTCGTGCGCACCAAGATAGACAACGACTTGGAGGCCGAGCAGAGGAAGAAGAATCCGCCCGCGGAAGCCGAAGTTCTGGAGGTGATCAAGAAGGATTGCCAGAGCAAGCTTTCCAAGGCTGGGCTGAGCGACGCCAAGGTGTTCCTTCTCAGCAATTTCTACCTCGACAAGTTCGACTTCCAGGCTTTCGAGGAAACTCTGGAGCAAGAGCTGCCCGCCCACAAGCAACAGGCTTTTCTCCTCTCTCTGCCCAACGTCTCCACCGTGATCATCGAGAAGAAGAAGAAGGTCCTTCTGCAGGAGATCTGGAAAGTGGCTTTGATTTCCAGCTTGGTAGCTGCTGTCCCGTTGCCGGGCCTGGCCTTCGCCTGCGACGTATCCATTTTGCTCAAAAAGTTGTCCAGTTACCGGCAAGACTTCGGCCTCGACGCCGCATCTTTATCCCGTCTGGCTGAGCGCTCCGGGAAGTCCATGGAAGTCCTGAGAAAGGAAATACGCAGTTGTTTAGGACGTAGCATCAACAAGGATGTGGTGATCAGTTTGCTGGGCAAGGCCACCGGGACAGGCCTGATGGTAGCCAATCTTTTCCTCCATCGGTTCCCCATTTACGGAGCCCTGGCCTCTGGGGGCATCTCTTTCCATACCACCTGCTCCATGTTGAGACAATGCCTAGAAGAGCTGGCCGATGACTCCCAGCGCGTTCTTATGAAGGCCTGCGAAAGTCACGCCGGACCTGGCTAAAGACAGTTTACCCATCTGGTCCCCTCCAGCTAGAGTTCCCGTCATTCTCCGCTGGCCCGGCTTTTGGCTGTAGTAGAAGGACTTCCTTTGTTCCCATTTCTGATCCCTCCCTGGATGTCTTGCCTTGTCGTGGAGGTCTTCCCTTACCTTCCATCCCTCTAGCAAGCTCCTCAGCACTGTGGCCTGTAAAATCTTGAGGACTAGGAACAAGCGCTTGCTTTGGCTTTGATGTTCTGGAGACAAGATTTAGACAAGTTCCCTTTGTCTGAGAAGGTTCCATCGGCCCTACGGTTATTTATTGTTTTAAATATTGTATTGTTCCTCTCTCTTCTGGCACGGACATGCTGAGTTTGAATGAAATTTAAGGGTTTTTTGTGGCCAATTACTGCCCCTAGCCTTAGGATGACGATTCAGAAGTGTGGAAGGAGGAGGGGAAAGAAGGGGCACGAGATCTAATCATATTTTCCAGAATTAGATCCCAGTCTAAGCCATGGAGCTATCCAATTGGAAGGCTTGGTTGGAGCACAAGGTTGAATGTAAGATTTCGACCTAATTTCATAAAATTGCTTTGTTTACAGTGGCACTCCCTTGGCTTGCCACTAGAGGGAGGTGCTGTCTGTTTATTGGAATTAAAAAAAAAACAGGTCAAGTGGCAGGCTGGTGAATTCTGGGAATTGAAGTCCACACTTGAGGTTGCAAAACATTGATCTAGAATACACGTTGAATTGCAATTGGTGTGTGTCTGTGGAGGGGTGTGTGTGTGTGCGCGTGAGCATCAAATGTATATAAAATGGCACGCTGTGCAAAGGATCAAACAAAACCTTTCCCTCTCTCTTTCTTCCCATGCTGTAGAAACATTTCCCCAAACGCCATTAATAAAAAGTAGAGAAATACAATTATGTCTCAAATAATTCTTTGATGTGCCATCCCATGTGGATATCATTGGAGCAGCTTAGTCGTGCCTCCTGGATCAGGGGTCTCCAACCTTGGCAACTTTAAGACTTGTGGATTTCAACTCCGAGAACTCTGGGAGTTGAAGTCCACAAATCTTAAAGTTGCCAAGGTTGGAGACCCCTGTGCTAGATGGTAAACCTATCAGGCGCTGAATCAGTGGTGGGATTCAGCCAGTTCGCACCTATTCGGGAGAACCTGTTGTTAACTTTCTAAGCAGTTCGGAGAACCGGTTGTTGGAAGAAATCTTATTTTTCCCCCCACTTTACAGGGCTAATCCTGTAAGCAAGGCAGGAAGGAAACATTCTGGTGTTGTTTCTAGCCTAATCTTTATTGCCCTGCTTACAGAAACTGCCTCTCCGGTTAACCCTTATTACATTGTCACAGCTAAGGCGAAGCGCACGTCAACCTGAACGATGGCCACGCCCACCCAGTCACATGACCACCGTGCCTTGTTTACCCAGTTAGTCATTAATAGCAATAGCAGTTAGACTTATATGTCGCTTCATAGGGCTTTCAGCACTCTCTAAGCGGTTTACAGAGTCAGCATTAAGGCAGAGAACCAGTTGTTAAATTAGTTGAATCCCACCACTGGACTGAATGCACCAGAGGTGGGTTCCTACCAGTTTGCACCTATTCGGTAGAACCGGTTCGTCAAATCTACCG